CTTCGGATGCTATTAAAGTAATAATGATTATAATAATTATTTACAGACTGATTTAACAGACGATCAGTGCTGCCACGATCACTGGAAAGTCTGGGCGAGAGGCTTCCACAGAGGAGCGCCCAGTTTGCACCAACTTTCTAAAGACGTTATTTACTTTACTCAAACTGTGTGTGGCTTTTAGCGCTGGTGTTAGTGAATTAGACGTTGTTTATCAATGAGGCTCATTTGCATAGAAAGGGGCAATTTTTCCGCCAAATATATGCATATTACCTCATTTAAATACGTGCAAATAACACCGGAGCACCGAGACACAATCTGCTTGGCAGCGCAGTTAGTGGAGCATTTCACCCTCTGTGCGTGTTTTGTGAATAAGAAGGTATGTGTTTGCTCCATTTTTACCGGTTTAGCGGCCACAAAAGCCACGCAATCCTTTTGTGAATTTGGCCCTTAGTAGCTAGGCTGAACATTTTAGAGCAATTTGAAACAAAAATCTTAGATCATGGGTTTTCAAAGTTTTGATGACTGAGTGCCATTTTAGAGAGATAGCATATGATTGAGAGCCGCACAAGAAAAGTGCAAACACTGACTTTTTTTTATGACATATTATACTCTGACATTTTTAATGACTTTTTAAATGACATACTATACTATTACTTTTTTCCAGCCTTTTTTATTACTTTTTTTATGACATTTCTATGTCTTTTTTTTATGTTATTTTAAATGCCACACTACCAATTTACAAACACTATAACAACTGACAGTGATATAGCCCACATAACACTCATATGTCATTCTAGTTTTACACTTCTTGATACATCTGAAACCAATGAAAATAGAAAGTACAGTACATCGATTTACCTGCCTATAGCAGTCTAAATGTATGAGATTAAGGATTATGCAAGATTCGGTGCAGAACATATATAACTCCTGTTAGATTATCCAAGATGGATGACAAACATCAAGATTTAGGCTTGCATAATTTATTCCACTTGCTCTGGGACTGTCCAGCTGTTCATACACTCTGGTTAGAAGTGATATCTCATATGTCAGAGTTTTCTAATGTTAATTTCCCAGTGTGTCCGAAAGTACTGTATGCTCGCTGGGCTTGAAGCTGGACAATAATGTTGGAGTAACAGTCAAGTGTCTATGGACGTCTATCTACTATCTACTAAGAGACTAATTCTTCTCAACTGGAAGAAGCGTTAAGCAGCCTCTTCCTGGCCGAAGGAATACCTGGGCTTACTAAACATGGAATGGGCAGCCTGCCTGTTGAAACACTTCTATAAGGGGCTGGAGGACCACTGAGACACTGTCTGCACACTTTTAACAGTAGCCCCAGTTTAAAAAGCTTGTATACAATGGAGATATGAGATCCAATGTATGCTACATTATGCTACATGAACGTCAACCTTGCATCCTCCCCCAATTCCTTTTTTTTATTACTGTTTGCTTTGTACTGTTTTGTTTCTGCAGAGCTGCAATACACCGTGATACTAGAACTGGTAGTAATAATAATGAGAATTTGCTAGGATTATGATTCATGCACTAATGATTATTTCAGGTGGTGGTGCGTGGTTGCCTTTGTAGCACAGCAATTATTTTTCTTTAACGTCTTAACAATGTATTGGGGGTTATGTGTCACCCTATATATATTATAATTACTGCCTGGACCAGCTTCCTTGTTGAGTCGTGTTATAGATGTTGGTAAGAAGGAAAGTGAAGTGGTTTTGATTACATTTCCTGGGTCAGTAACATGTACCTGAAGGCAGTAGTTTGTATTCAGGAAACAGAATGTGAGACCGGTCCTTCTGAATTCTGTGTGCATGTCGTCTCATAGATATTGTGAAGGGACGAGAGCTCTTTGTTTCCCATCACTTTTATTGCAGTCCTTACCATGTTTGCCGATGTAGCAGGAGGAATCAGCAGTTGCTGGGTGGTTGTGGGGGGAGGGCAGGGAGACCCAGGTTGCTGGACTTCATGCATGCCTGTCTGGCTCCATCATGCTCATGTGAACAGCAGGCGCTCCACAGGATGTGTCATGTCATTATTCACCACCAGGGGCCAATGAACGCAGAGCAGCAGCAGAATGCTTTCTAAACAGTGTTTTCCCCTGTGCGAGGGAAGACCTGTGTTTGTGTTTGTGTGTGTGTGTGTGTGTGTGTGTGTGTGTGTGTGTGTGTGTGTGTGTGTGTCTATAACGTCTTTGTGCATTAGCCTGTATACATGAGAGAGAGTGGGAGTGAGTGGGAGTGTGAAGGTGAGCAAATGAGCGAGCAAAAGAGAATTTCTGTGTATGCGAGCGCTCAACATTCCTCCGAGGTATTTTTAGCATTGTTTTTCAACATCTTCAGCAGTCTGTTTTCCGGTCTGAGCGTGGTATGGGTCTCTCATGCATTTCTCAATCATATACCCCGCTTTGGAGACACACACACACACACACACACACACACACACATGTGAAATACTCTCACACAAACGCACACACACATGAAAGCATTCCGTTGCTTTTGCTTTAATGGCTAACCTTCGCGGGGCTCCAATTGTCCCGAGCAATAAATCATTTTCACTTGCCACATCTGAAATATTTATTCCATGTTAATCAAGCATTGCTTCCTAAATACACACACACACAGAGGCACACACACACTTAGCAATGTGTGTGAGAGAGTGGGACCCTGCATGCCTGTGTGGGAAACCTTGCAACCATTTACTAATGATGTCGTGATGCCACTACCTCTCATTTCTTTGAACGTAGCACTCACACTTGCTAATGCATGACCAATAGGAAAAAAATCTGCCGTGCCATGATTTTTCTTTCCTCTGCTAGGACTGTAAAGTGGTTTGTTTTTATCGAATTTAAATGATATTTTCTTTTTAAGTAAACTGACACTGTGAAAAAATGCAAAGTCATTTAAAACATTAACATTAACTATGCTAGTGCCTCTGTGCAGCCACATTAAAGCTGTAGTTAGTAACTTTTATATAAAAAGATACTTTTCATATTTTCTGAAACTGTCTTTACTGCCTTTTTAGCACTTCTAACAGCCCTACCACCAGTGAATGTAAACAACCAATCAGAGCGGACGGCTCTCTAAAGCCCAGTTAAGACCAAAGATACACAACGAGACAAGTTGAAACAGGCAACTACGGCTATGCCGTTCTGCAACAGTATAAAAACCTGCCGGTTCACACCAATGCAACTAGATGAGATGGTGGATCATCTCTATGCAACACCTCTCTGTACTTCTGTTCTGGTTTTCAGCTTTTCAGGTTTATTTTGTGGCTGAATATAATTTGTAGCTTCTTGATATATGAATGAGGATAGTGATAGTGAGATACTGGATACAGCTGCAGCCAGTTTACAGCTGAAAAACAGAAATGAAGTGAGCATCAGATGGACTGTATTCATAATCAATACGTCACATTACTATAAGTAAGCAGCGCCAGTTAATCAGTCAATTAGAATGTGTGTGTGTGAGGGGGCATAAGCATATACAGCAAGCAGCAGCAGCGACCCATCGTCCGACACCGGCACACCGTCAGGACAGAAACAGAGGGCTTAGCGAGGACAGAGCACCTGCCGCAGCAAGCAACCACGCCATCTGTAGTCATTTTGTCTTGACCAGCCAACCCGGTCTTACTCTAAAGTCATTGAAATTCAACGCTTGGGCAGTGAATGGCCATTTAACGTCAGCATGACACGCGGCCGATTGCTGTTATAGTTAAATCATGGCAGCAGGGGGAAACGCAATGTGACGAATGATGGTTAAGGCGGCGAAAGTCTGAGCAGTGGAGGTGGGAGGGTCCAACAAACACTGACTTTCACCCAGAAAAACTGTGTTTGCATCCCATAAGATTCTAAAGCCAAACCCTGTTCTTTTTTCCCAAACGGTAAATTTCCTGTAAAAACGGAAGTATATTTTGAAAGAAGATAATGCATGTAATCGGCAGAACTTGACATGGCGTCCCAGAACATCAACAACCAACACACCCAGGGTAGCTTTCACTTTATATCTGGACATGGAAGGTCCGTGACCAAACGTCGAAATGGGATGAGGCCTGAGTGAGAATGTGTTGGGCTAGCCTACTTCACTACAAGCTGACTGATGATATGCTTTACATTCTAAAACCAGCCGCCGCCGGTTTGATCAACGGAGTTGCAGGTGACACCATCACATGGCTTGAGTCGAACTCAGACCAGCCAGTTCACACCACTGCAACGTTCTAAACTGGTTTCGTCTCATTGAGAATCTTTGGTATGAACTGGGCTTGACGCAGCTGTCAATCAATTCGATTGCTCCATGAACTGCAATCAAACTGTCAAACTCTGCAGTGTTGATCAAATATGAACCAAGATTCTGTTACTGCATTGCCTGTTTCTTGCCTGAAATATATTTTAGTGCACTGTTTAGCTGTAAAATGAGAAAGGTGGTCCATCTGGTAGAAGGTGCTTGGTACGTGACTGTTACCAACATGGTGGCCAGGTCTCTATATACTGCCAGGAACAGCTCCCTGATGAAGATATCCTTTATTTTGCTGGCCTAAAATTAGTCAAATTCATTTTTTTATGTTGTTATTTAATATAGAAGTGCTAGAATTGGAATCAGTAATACCTACCAAAAGTTTTTAACTAGGCTCTGACATACATTAATAATCAGTCAGTTGATTTAGATGTTGAAGTGACTCAGTGATGAATCACCCTCATGCATGAATCAGACATCATATATGGAAAAAGATACAGAAAAAATAGAATTGCATGGCAAATATTGAATATTGTAGAGACCCTCACAAGATTTTACACATCATGTTTTCAGGGGAGGTCATGTCTTATTAACAGAAACTCCCCCTGGCTCCCCTGGAGTTCACACCATGGCTCCAGTAGCCAGAGATTGGAAAAGCAAAACCTGAATTAAACATCGGATTTCAAATGCCTCACTACTCTTTCCTAGAATGGAAATATATTCTAACCCTTCTCTGTATTTGCCCACCTCCCCTCCTAGATCCCAGTTATGACGGGAGCCTTCATGGACTCCTCGCCCAACGACGACTACAGCGGCGAGCACTCCCTCTTTAACTCCTCGGCCAGCGTCCATGCCGCTGCCTCTGCCGCCTCGGTACACGGCCAACAGGATGAGCAGCAGTCCATGTCCAGCGATGCCATCTGGCTCTGGATCGCCATCATCGCCACCATAGGAAACATTGTGGTGGTTGGCGTCGTCTATGCCTGCACTTTCTGATGAACATATGCTGACAAAGACAAAGACACACACACACACACACACACACACACACACACACACACACACACACACACAAACACATACATCCTGCTTTTTCCGGATATCTGGACCCCTGAGCGAGGCCACGCTTTGTAGACAGACACTCTCTCTCTCTATGTCTCTCTCTATCTTCCTCTGTCCCCCTCGCACTTGGCTATTGGATCAGATTGAGTCCCTGAGGGTGTGGAAGTTGTGATACTAGACAATGACATATAGACTCCTCTATTTCTTCATCAGAGGAGAAGACTGGGACTTGGCTGCAGTCGTCGGCATGGAGCATTTTTGGATGCTACAACTGTTAGTTTGAAAAAAAGCTTTTGTGTTCGACAGCTCTTTAGTTAAAAACAGAAACATCAGACCTGCGCTCTCAAACAAGAATCAAAGGAACAGTGTTGTTTTGTTTTTTTTTCTGCTTAAGTTTGTTTCCATGTTTCTCCTCAGACAACATCCTCACTTATAATGCAGAGACGAGAATGGAGATTAAATGGGGCTTAAGATCCAGGTTGATCCAGGCCATCTTAAACATCCACCAGATAGTTTCTTAGCAATTTAGAGCAGTGCTGTTTAATTATGCGGCTGAACAGAGATGGTGAATGTTAAAACATTTAGAAAGTGCTGGGATTATTTTCATGCCAGGCAGCCCTGAGGCCCAAAACACTGGAGCTCATTTAAGGACTAATTTGTGGATGAAACGTGGTGTATATAGTATCTAAACAATTTTACTGACAGGAAACAAAGAACAGACACATTTAAAATCTCATAAGAATGATTTCCGCTGTGCTAACTGAATTATACGCAGTGAACGATGGCTGTATGATTAGATGAGTAGAGTAAAACTAAGTCAGCCCCTTTGAAATGAATGATCCTGTTGTCAGATACCTACAGCAATATTCACCAGGGGTTATTAGAAATCTAATTGTATTGTCATGGTCTGTTCAGGCATGTTTAGATATTATCTACAGATGTCAACAAATACAATTAAAAGCACAAACTGAATCGCAAGATGACATAACCTACTTTGCTTACTGCACCTAATTATTTTGTACTTCTTTTTTTTCTTAAAGGAACAGGGTGTAAGATTTAGAGGGGGTTAGGATTGCAGATTGCACTTGACTGTACCAGGAGAGAGGTGATTAAAAACAGTAAAAACACTAAATAAAGCAGCTTCATGTTACAAATCAGTGCTTCTCCTAAGCTGTTCAGCACGTCATAAATGGTCCACTCGCCAGCATCGGCTCTTGTACGCTCACCTATTTTCTCTGATAACTTAATGTGTGCTCACTTATTTCTGATCCAGGAGGTTTTTACCATGAGCCACATTTTCCACAGAGATCACCTCATCTTCAAAACAGACCACGGGTCTCATTTATAAACATTGCATATGCACAAAATGAGGCCTGAAAGAGACGTACGCCACTTCCAACACAAAAGTTGTGATGAATAAAAACTTTGACTCATGCTTATGAACATTTTGGAGACGGAAATTGGCGAAGCAGATGTTGAGCTGGAAGCCTGAATGTAGGAATTGTTGAATATTTTTGCCGCCTTCTATTTTTGGCTTTTGTCCATATGTACATTTTAAGTATGGATTGTACGCATTGTTTTGTAAATGGGACGTCAGGCCGAGGGAGGCTCAGGTGAAGTTTTAGAGTCCTCACAACACTTGTGGAGATCCCAGGGGAGAGGGGGTAGCAGCACAACCCCACCTAATGGTGGCTTACCGCGCTCACGTGTGTATGCTTGCGCAAGAGACCAGCGAAAGCACGTGAACACACAAGCGCGCACACGTCAGAGAGGCAGTTAGAGCTGCAGGCTACAATGAGGCTAAAAACAGAGTTCAAATGACGTTTTTCCAAACAAATTTTTATGTCAGGGCTTCAGGACACTTGGATCACTACGGATGAGCAGTATGGAGATATTTTGTGGTTTCAATTATATGTTTTTGGACGTTTGAATCTGGGGCGCCGTAAGCCTCCATTAGGTGGAGTTGTGCTGCTACCTCCTCTCCCCTTGGATCTCCGCAAGTGTTGTGAGGACTTCACCTGAGCCTCCCTTGGCATATGGGTGAGTAGATAATGGCTGAATTTTCATTTTTGGGTGCACTATCCTTTTAAGTGTCTCTTAAGTTATCATTGTTCCTTCCTTTCCAAAACAAACAGATCAGGGATTTGATTTATGAAACAATGCATAGGATCCATACTGAAAATGTATGTACGGGCAAAAACCAAAAATGGTGTGCGCCAAAAAATATCCAACAATTTCTACAATCAGGCTTCCACCTCACCATCTGTGTCGCTGGTTTTCAGTCTCCAAAATGCTTGTAAGCATGGGTCAAAGTAGCTCCCATCAAGTCTATTTTTAGAGATCACAATCCCACTTTTGCATGGGAAGTGGCGTACACCTCTTTTAGGCCTTGATTTGTGCATACGCAATGTTTTTAAATGAGACCCCTGGTGATTAAAAGCAGTAAAAACAATGAAAAAAAGCAGTTTCCTAAAAATTCTAACGCTGCTAACTACAGTGGCTGACACGAAATCGCTAAAATGCCACTGCCTATCAAGAGTCAGTGTTTGTCCATTCTACGCCACTGCAAACATGATGATCTCCATAGATGGGGACCCACTACCTATGTAAATATGAATGGCTCATTCTAAGGTAACGAAAACAGGAATCATATTTTTAGGTGATTACACACCAAAGAAAGCATACTTATTATATTCCATTTCTGCAAATATATCCTCACTAACTCCTACACACTGGACCTTTAAAGTACAGCTTGTATTTCTTGTCACTCAGAGTTAACCTTGTCAGCAGGACAGAGCAGATATGGAAAACTGGTAAATGTATGTGTTTTAAAAGTGATTTAACACCCATCAGATCTGTGGTGAACTTTGTGATAACTGTATACTAACGTGAGGAGGGAAAGGATGCCTCAGTTCGAAATGAAATGTTGTCAAGCTGTCCCTCTAAATTCGTCACTGTTCAGTAAATTAGCTTTTGTGTTACTGTGGAATCTGGAGGCAGCAGTCTCCATGGCAACTAATCCTCGTCCTAATTGGGGAACAACAGCTGTACTCTGAGACTCGAGCGTTAACCTGCAGCCACTGATACCATTTATGCTTTTTATTCGGAGCATTTAATAACCGCTTGCACACAAAGACCATCACAGGAAGCATTGCACTGAATTTAAACAAATATAACATCTGGTAACCTTGTTTTTTTAATTTACTTGTGCATTGCTTTACACTGTTTTATTTCCATTTCTTAAGACAGTGAGCTACTATAGGAGAACTGATAGAAATGTTAGTAATTTTGTTTTTCTGAGTGTCACTTTAAAGTCAGTGAGTAGTTTTATTCTTTATTGACAAACTGACTGATCTATATATTTAGACAGAGAGAGAAATAGAAAGAGACTACTCCTTTTTTCAGTAAACTTATATATTTTTTCTGGGGTTTTGGAGATAATGTCAACATGCTTTAGGTTAAAAGATACAAACCTGTCTTGTAAACACCATACTGTACATGTTCAGATGTTCATACACTGCGAATTACAATACTAGCTGTATCAACTGTACCAATGTGAGGGGAAATTCAGACACTGTTATTATACTTCTACAATGTTCAAAGAAGGACTTATTTTTAATAAATGGTTGATGTAGAAATACTGTATTTAGACATGTTGTAAACCACATACACAATGCTCCTTTTGTAAAGATATATGCTACTATTAAAATTTCTGTATTAATGCATTTTGTTTTTCCTCTGTTGAAAAATAAGAAATAGTTCATCTGGAAGTTTAGTGTCAAGTGCAGAATGATTCACTCACAGGAAACATCGCTGGCTAAATGCAAACTCTCGGTTGCCTGCGCACAGCGTGATCATGCAAGAAGGTGTTTTAGCTCTATCTTTTCTCTGCCTCAATCACCTGACGTTGTTCCTGGGGAAGCCAACCCGTGCTGACAGACATCACCAGTCGCTGCTGAGCCATCAGGTGAGATTGATGCTAAGCTTAGATGGTGCCATCTGTCATTTTGACACAGGCACAGGTTGTTTAGACACCAGCTGGATTCACTCCTCTGTGGACCCCTGCACCCCGCCATCTCTCTCTGTCTTCACACTGGTTTTGCTGAACCGACTGTGCAGGAAGTTACAAAAACATACAATGTGAAAACAATGCTCTGGCCTACATAAAGAAAGGCAGGATATTTACCCAAAAAAAAGAAATGCTTTAAAGTTTTTCTGCCTGCAGCTGATATCTTTATTGAAATCCCAAGAGCTGCAATTAATTTTATTTTACAAAGTGAGCTAACTTTTTACTGAAACAACAAGACTAAAGTCTAAAGCCATGCTAGCTGTTCCATGAGGCTTTATGAAAGCATATGCTCCCAGGGTCCTTTACGACTCATTAAGGAGACCCTTCAAAGGGTTTTATGTTCTCAGCAATGTTTTTGCCCTGGGTCAAATGGTCAGTGTATGTTTTCCAAAGGCAATATGTTGTATTCACCCACCTACAGCTTATAGCCTACATATGTTACACTCTTTGAAACATTTTCCCTCAAGTTTGTGGTCAAGATTGTTTTCTTGACATTGACATCTCCATATTTTTACCTTTCAATCTCAATATGAAATGTCATCTTCCCTTCAGTTTTTTGCCATTTGAACTGCAAAGACAGCCATTACCAATCTCTTACTATCTTAGTCTATACCAAGAGATTTATAGAACCCTGAGAACATAATGATGAGCCCAGCTGTGGCCTACTTAAAGGAATACTTCACCTGCAAAACTACCATTTGTTTATCAGTTATGCACCATGTGTTACCTTGAATTCATGAAGAAAACTTAATTTTTCCCACCTCTCCACGGGGAACGAAGAATAAAAAAAATAAAAAAAGTATTCCTCATTAATTGAAGTCAATGGGGTCCACGTTTAACAACAACAAAACTATATCAAAACATCTGTTCACAAACTCACAACTCGTGTAGTAAAATCCAGGTCTCATTATCCAGTTGTATGTACAGTACAACCCAAACATATAGAATATTTTTACTCAAACAAAAACACTTCTCACTCTGACCTCGTCACATATTGACGTTTGGTCATGGACTTTCCACGTCCAGATACAAGGTGAAAGGTACCCTGGGTGCGTTGGTTGTTGATGATCTTGGACACCATGTCAAGTTTTGCCTGTTACATTGTCTTCTTTCAAATACACTTCTGTTTTCACAGGAAATTCACAGTTTACATACAGTCTCTTTCAAAATAAACGCACGTTGGTACAACATCGTGAGTTATTGTTTTTTTCCTTCAGCAACAAAAGCATGTGGTTGGGTTTAGAAAAAAAGAACAGTGTTTGGATTTCTAATCTTACGGAACGCGAATACAGCTCTCCCAGGTGAAGGTTGGTCCAAGGTTGTTGGATCCGTCTGTCATTTTTTCCTGAAATTCAAGGCAACACTCAATGAGTAGACTAACTGATACACAATGTGGGTGAAGTATTATTTTAAGTGCTAACACCGGCATGCTATCATACTCATGATGACAATCATGCTAGCAAAACTACATTCAACCTGTTCACCATCTTAGTTTAGCATGTTAGCATGCTAACACTAGGTAAGTAGCATCAAACACCAAGCACAGCTGAGGTTGATGGGAATGTCATAATCGCAGGTATATGGTCATGTTTTGACTTGATGGTGGCACTAGATAAAAAGTTAAGGGATCACCAGATTTAAGACAATTTATCCTGACGAGAATGTAAATGTCTTTACCAAATTATCTGATAATCCAGCCTGTTCTCATACCAAAGTCATCAAATACCGAAGTTTTGTCAGTTATCTGGGTGTTAGATACAGACGCACAAAGGCACCTTTCACTGGGTTATGAAGCACACTGGCAGGGGGCAGTTTGTAACGCTGCCAGTAACACCATAGGGTAGTTGGAAGAGATGGATGGATCCAACAAACCCTGGACTTTCACCTAGGAGCTGACTGTTCGCTCTCCATGTGAATGTTGAGCCAAACCATGTTTTGTACTAATCCTAACCATATATTTGTGTTGCACAAGGAAATAAACATGGATATAGTAAGGGGTTTTACTGAGGCATGCATGTAACAAGCCTAAATTTACATGGCTTCCTGGAACGTCAACAACAGACACAGGAGGATACCTAACGCATCATATGCATACATGAAAGTCCACGGACAAAGACGCAATATTTAAGGAACTGGGATGAGAACGCCTTGGGTAATCCATGTGGTAGATGTCAGATGTAGGAAAAAAATAAGTCCGCACACCAGGCAGCTCCTATTTAGAAAGATTATAATGCAGAGTGACATTTAGAGCCCACAGCTCTTCCTTCTGATGAATGACAGAAGGTCACCATCTTAAATAGCCATAGTGCCTGAGCCAGTCATGTGACATGCCGCACCTGTTGCCCATGTTCATAATAAAAATAAACCAAGAAAATATATATACATAGCTGTGTTCAGATGTTTCACAGAATAGATTTTGTCCTGCTGGTGGCAAAAGAGATAAAGTCAGGGGGTCACCAGAGTCACTAAGTGCCATTCACTGGGCACCATGGATAGGATCTGAGCCAAATTTG